TCCCTAATAGTACTATAGACTTTGGTATCGCCCGCTCTATCAAAGTGACGCTATATAAGTGGGCTATTTACCTGCTAAAATATAAGGACGGCTATTTTACCTGCTATCCCGAATTCTGGTATATAGCTCTTAACTAAATAATGCGAGAGTAGATATTTAGCGCTACAAACTAGTATATTAAATAGAATTAGGAGACCGCCAACCTTACTATAGAGTAAATTCGGTAGGAACTCCTCCGTATAGAAAATTCTACTATACTATAGTACATTATGCGCCGGGGTAAGCCCTTAAAGGGAACTAGACTCTATTAGAATAGCGAGAGGTATAAGCTAGAGGCAATAGCCCGCTAGCTTAGGGTTAACTATCTATTTATTACGTTTAGTGCTGCTAATATTTAATGGGAGGATCTACAGCGCTATATACCTTATTATAAATAATAAAGGGATTTATCTAGCGACTTAGAACAATCACGGATTGCTAGTAAGAACCTCTAGAAGAACCTATATATTATTACTATGTACTTACAAATGCGCTTTAATTTATTTATTAAGTATATCCTTAAACCAAAGTTTGAAGTTACTAATTATTAGTTTTAGTACAAATGGTAGTCCCGTGGTAGTAGATATATCTGCGATTTTATCTAGTGTGAGGACGCCCTATAGCCTAATATATCTATATATAAAATAAGGGAGTAATTTATATAGTACTGGTCCCAGTACCTTAGTACTATTAATCTAGATATAACTAGACCCCCGCACGCTAGATACCCGTATTCAATTCTACTCTATACTTAAGTAAATATTATAATTAATATAGGTAGTCTAGTAATAGCCTTATACCTTCTGTACTATAGGTGGTTGCCGTACTGTAATATAGGGCTAGGTTATAGATATTATTATTAGACCGCCTATATAGGACCGTTATATAGTAACTAACGCTACGTAGAGAAATACTATAGAGCGAGCTATTTTAATTATTAATCGTGTTAATCGATGTATATAATATAGTAAAGTATACTATCTACGTAAAGATGAGAGGACCGAAGAATTAAACTACCGGTTTTAATTTCTAAAGCCTCTACAGTCTGTAGCTACCGTTACTTCTTGGGACAATAGACATATAATAATATAGGAGTTCTCTCTATAATATAATAATATGCTACTCTAGTAATTTAACCCGCTAGTTCTTATATCGTGGAATACTAATATAGACCTCTCCCCTTCTACTAGTCTCTTATAGGTACTAAAATACGCGGCCAATGTTACAAACCGTCTGCGGCGTAGCCTAGACAAGTATATTTATTGGATAAAAAGATTAAGGAGCGGAAGAACCCCAGGATATGGATAGATTACGTGATATTAGAATGGTCTAAAATACTAAGGGATAGAATAGTCCAATATGGACCATGATAGAATAGTCCAATATAGACTATAATAGAATAGTTCAATATAGACTATAACAGAAGTGATGGAAATGGACCATTAATATATATATATAAAGATATTCATTTCCACTTTAATTAAGAGTTATCTTCTAATACTCACGATTAACGTAGCCTTTATAGTAAGTTATAACTTTATAGTACTAATTAATATAAGTATACTTCCCTTTATCCATCTATTACCTTAAGCCAACCCTTATACTAGACTTAACTAATGTACTAGCTTTATTGTAGATTAGGAACTTAGAGCGTGACTATAATACTAAGCTAGACTTAGAGTTACGACCTTGAAGACAGATACTAAAATATCTTCCTATAACCTAGAGAGATTATCAATACTTTGCTACACCCTAATCCATCTATATAGTACCTTAGTACCCTTTTACCAATACGTTAGCCCTTATACCCTTATAACGGTAACCTACCTATATAGTATTGATTGTCTTATATTTACGATTATGGATATCCGAATGGAGATTCCGACTTACTATTTACCCTTAACTACCTCGACGTCTACCTACGACTAGTAGTAAAAGTTATACTTATATATATCTAATATAATATTACGACCCTAATTAGTAAACATACTATTTAAAAGAAACTTAAGTATATATTCCCTACCATAGGTATTTAAAAGACTAACTAGGATAATACCCTTTTAAAAATACGAAGTTAATATATCTACTATAAGCGGAACCACTAGTAACCCTAACTATATCCTAATTTAACTTAAGTAATGGATCGCTACCTTAGAAGCAAAGGTTAATAAATAGAATTATAAAGATAATATCCAGTAGTATAAAATATAGATTAAGAGATTACTCAACGAAATATATATTCTAAAAATATATACTAGAGATTTATAAGTATTAGTTAAAATTTGGATATTAGATACTTTTAACAGAGAACGTAACAAGCTAGAGTACTTCTTAAGTGAATATAATATCTATCTAGCTACCAAACTAGGAATTACCGAAGTTGAGAAAGTGATCTTTATAGAATCTTACCTATATAATACTATAGCTATATAGTTCAAACCAAGACTTAAAGACTAGATTAATACTTAAGGAAACCTAAAGATATATATAGATATATTAGGTAACTATATATAGTTTAAAGCCGTAATTGGATAATTCTTTAGAGATATAGACTATAAGTAAACCCTTAAATAAAAGCTAGCTAGTCTACAATAGATAAGAGATATAGTATAGTTTATAGCGTAGTTATAGTAACTATATCAAGAACTCGAGATCTATAATAATAATAGGAAAATAGCTATCTTTAAGTAAAGACTTAAACTAGAAATATAATACGAAAGTATTAAAATGGAACTATTTATAAGCTATACTTCTATAGTCAAAATAGCGGTATGAATCGACAATTAATCATATAACTTACGAAATCTATAATAAGAAAAAGTAACCTTTTAGAAAGGAATAAACTAGCGAAGTATAAGTGAGTAAAATAAATATGGATTGGTATTAATAGAGCTCGATATAACTGCGAAAGGATGTTTTAATAAGGAAAAAAATAAATAATACAGAAAATAGAAGTTATATTTCTAAAATAAGAAGCTAGGGTACTGGGCAAGATATTATAAAAAGAAATAGGGAGATATACGGAAAAGTATAAATACTACTACTATAGTAAAGCCTAGTGGTATATATAATACGAAGTACTATAGAACTAGAGGGAGACTTAATATTACTACTATAGTAAGGCCTAGTAGTAACGAGAAAACTAAATATAGGAAGAAATTCGAGCGAAGAGGGTATCTATAAGTAATATAACTAAGGCTAATTAGATAAGATACTATTATTAGATATAAATCAAGTAATGATCTACTTATGGAATATAAATATCATGGACTACTAAGATATTAATAAGAAGGGATAACTAGCGATTAGTATAATAATCCAATAAGATATAAATTATAAATTCCAGAATAATATCGAAGAGTAACTGGAGATATAACTCTAGAACGAATGGACTTAGAAGAAGAAATTAAGCTAAAAGAAGAAGATGTACTCGAGTCTAACTAGAATAATTTAAATTAGGAGGATATATTACCAATAATTAAGGAATAATAATAGTGAACTAAAGATAGCTTCGAGGAATATATAAATAATTTTAATAAAAAGTATTAGATAATATATAAATAAAAGGGCCTTTATTTTATATATAATATAGAAAAGTAAAAAGAGGTTAGTAATCTAACTTATTTATACTATGATGAGTACGATTGGAATTATCATTATAAATACTATATATTTAAGAAAACCTAGAAGTATAGAAGGAGACTTTATTATAATAATTATAAGTAATACCTATAGTATAAAAATAACGAAGAGATCTACTAGAAATATTATAACGATTAGGAATATATAATATATAATAAATAATAGAGGTAGATTAACAGATAAAATATTGAGATAATGGATATTGAGAATATCACACTATATAAGAAATTAGAAGTTATGAATCTTCTTGCTCCGTCAGAATACAAACAGCTGGTGGCCATTTATGGCCAAAAGCGACTTAATTTGACGCTCTTACTAAGCTTAATCTACGGCTTAATTTTGACCCCAAAATACCTCCTGCTTCTAGAGAAATCTCGCTGAATACACCCCAACATTCTGGGAAAAATTTTTCTTCTCCATTTTGATTTTCTTGCCAAGCCCTACTTACCTAAGCCCCCTTTTCTTTCTCCCCCCTACCCTTCTTTAACTTTTGATTTTCCTTATCTTATCTCTTCTTATCTTATCTCTTATCGCTTATCAATCTTTATCTTTCCTTATCTAAAGTACCTCATCCAAAATCAGCGGCTATAGCCAAAAGACCCAATAGTTTAGCTGAGCTATTAGGTTCCTGCTACCAAGAACTACTAGAAACTAGCTTAGCTATCTCTAGAAAGCTTAGTTAAATACGGTTTCTTTCAGAAGGCTAAGATATCTAAATAGACTGAGCTTTGGCAATACGTTTTGTATAGATTCTTAATCCCCCTTTAAGAAACTAGAGGCCTCTATAATACTGAAAGGTTCTAAATGAGAATTAGAAGGTAGAGACCTCTACCAAGAGCAAACCAAAGCAGTTGTTTCAGTTTCTAATTCTCTGCTAAAAAAGAAAAGTGAAATAGTTGACTATCACTACTTAAAAGATAGTAGCTTTTTTTCCTGGGATTTTTCTTAGAAAAGACAGGAAACTAGCCCTTACTTCTTCACTTCTTTAGAGAAATATACTCTATCTAGTATTATCCAAGTTAGATATCCTCTGAGGCGGACTATACTATTCAGAAATATCTCTCTAGGTTTTAGAAATATTTCCTTACAAAAAATCTAATAGTTTAGTAGTTCTCTTTAAAAACTACTACTACAATATACCTCCCTAAGGAAGAAAGGCTATATGCCCTATTTCTTAAGGATATATCTAGTTAAATCTACCCTTAGTACATTTTCTTTTACCGAATAGTTACAGGTAACCTATAAATCTAGAGTTTTAGGTAACCTAATAAAACCTACCCTAAATAGAAACTAGAAGAAGAATAATAGCTAGCCTAAAGAAATCTAAGGTGAAGACCTCACCTATTTCTTTCTCTTTCTCTAAGGAAAGCAACCCCTTCCAAGCTCTAGAGGTAGAAGATATAGAAATGGAACTAGAGGATCAACCTTCTCCTCTCTTAACTCCTATACCCCTCTCTATACTACCTCGAAAAAGACCCTCGAAAGGAAGCCCAAAAGCCTCTTCTTCTGAAGAAAATAAGGAGAAGGAAGCTAAAAACCAGAAGACTGGACTCGCTCCCTCTAAGAAGACTAGCCAGAATAACTTAGAAGTTATCCTAAATATTCTAGAGTAAGAAATCAAATGGGAAGAAGAGCTAAAAATTCTAGAAATTCTAGAAGAACAGAAGCAATAGTTCAAATAGCTTCTACCTTATAGAAGAAACCAATATAACTCCTTAAAACCCCTCTTCAGAAAATAGAGGAGAAAATACAATCCTTGGAGAAATCACTAGGGAAAGAAGGGGAGGAGAAACTAGAGGAAGAACCACCTCAGAAACCCTCCTATGCCTCTATTATTAAATGGGATAAAGAGGCAAAAAAGTCAAAGGAGGTATCTAAAGAAATCTCTAAAAAAGCCCCGAAATTAAGCGATATCCCTCCTTCCTAAAGAAAGCTATATATCGGTATCCCAAAATCTCAGGACCCCTTAAAAGGATATAAGATAAGAAACGCTATTAATATAGCTTTCTCTTAAGAAAAGGGAATTACTACCCCTGTCCTTGCGTCAGTCGGAAAGACCTTTAAGGGAGATAATATTACCCTAACTAATATGCCTAACTTCTCAGCTTCATTTCTTCCATAGACTCAATAGATTTGGGAGAAAATAATTAAATACTATCTCCCAAACTTAGGGGAAAAATTATAGCTTAAACAAGATAAAAAGTAGTCTTATCTAGTAGTTCACGGAATCCCTCTAGACCCCTTTAAAGGAAAAGGGGGCCTTAAACTCCTAGGAGAAGAGATCTAGATCTTTAACCCAGATCTAAAAGAGTTCCTAGCTAAGGAACCAGTCTGGTTATTTAGAAAGGAAGAACTAGACAATAAGCCTAAAGGCTTAGCTCTCCTTTATCTAAAAGAGAAAGTATCTCCTAAGCTTCTTTTGATTACAGGTAAATATTATAAGTTAGAAGAATATAAAGCTAAATGAAAAATCTTTAAAACTGGAGTTTAATACTACTTCTGCTAAAAAAACAGCCATAGCTATATAGAATATAAAACTATTAAGTCTAACTACCGAATTTATATAGAAAATTACAAAACTAAGGCCTATAACTATCTAGTTTACTATACTTTAGGGAAACAATATGAATATACTACTATGAAATATATAAACTGTAGATAGAAATACTTAGTAGATAATTAAGACTGCCACTTCTTTAGAAAGCCTTATCTATCGAAGGTACTAGCTAAAGTAGAAACTAAAGAAGAAGCTAGTACTTCTACTAAGTAGAAGCTCCAGGTCCTGGTTAGGGTTGAAGTCCTATAAGAAAAACCATAATAGTAGAAAGAAAACTAAAGTTTCTTCAAAATAATGTAGCCAGAAAGAATATATTAATATATACCTACTTAGATATAGCTCTTAATAATAAAATCGATCTAATTCTCTTTCAGAAGCCCTAGGTGAGTATAGACTATTAATATACTATAGCTTACCCCTCCTACTTCTGCTTCCTTCCCCAAACTAGAGAAGTTAGACCTAGGGTAGCGATTTTTACAAGAAAAAAATCTAGATATTAGGTAAACCTAAGATTAGATATAATAGATAACCCAGACCTTCCAGTTATAGATATAATAGACTCTAAATAAGAATTAGGGACTATTCAGCTAATAAATATTTATAACGAACTATCTCTAAAGGAAGGGATAGAAGGTAAAACTATAGAAAGTGAACTACAGAAAATAACTCCTTTAAAAAACTTAATCCTCCTAGTAGATATGAACACATACCACCCTAGATAAAACTCTAGGAGATTATCCCCCTTTAATGCAGAAAAGCTGATATATTGGTTAGATAAATACCAGTTTGAGATAATAAACGAGGAAGACTAAGCCACCTACTTGAAATCTATAGAGAATCCATCCATTATGGATCTTATATATCTATCCTCCTCTCTATTAGAGAGACCTTATGACCAGTAGATAGAGGACTCTCTAGAATTAGGCTCAGACCACGAGGTTATCTATTTCGATATAGAAATAGACCCCACTAGCCTAGTAGAGAACTCCCTTCTATCTAATTAATATAATCTAGAAAAGGTGGACTGTAGCAAAGTCTTAAAGGAACTAGAATTAAATCTCTAAAAAAGAGAATTTAATTTAGTCCTTAGCCAAGAGAACTCCTTAAGAGACTTAGATATTGAAGCCAACCGCTTAGAAAGCCTAATATCTACTACACTGGAGGCTACCATTCCTAAGAAACGCATATCTGAACACTCAAAGCCCTAGTAGACACCAAGACTAAAAGAGCTTAGGAAGGATATGAAAAGGGATGGCTCCAGATATAAACAAGACTTAATCCCCTTAGATATTTTTAAGGAAACTAGAAATTATTACTTTCAGAAGCTCAAGAACGCTAAATAAGCCTGCTGGAATAAATTCCTAGAAGAGGCCAAAATAAAAGAAATCTTTAAAGCCTTTAACTATACTAAAAAGAGATACCTAGAGAAACTCTCTATATTAACCTATAATAAGGATAGGGAGGAGGTCAAAGCTATTACTTTTAGTGAGAAATGCGAAGTATTTATGGAAGTTCTCCTTAAAAAGCTACCTCTATCTACACATATAGATCTACAAAATTATCAAGAATGAGGGTGGGATTGACCTAGTATAACCAAATCAGAAGTTAAATAGGCTATCTATACTAGCTCCTCTAAAAAGGCAGCTAGAGCAGATAAAATATCCTTTCTAATAATTTAAAAAATCTACCCTATTCTAGAAGAAAGACTTTTTAATCTCTACAAAGCTCTTTTTAATAGAGGCTATCACCCCCTTAGATAGAAACAGGTAATAGGAATTATCTTCCCTAAACCTAATAAGAACTATATAATTCCTAAATTCTATAGGGTTATATCTCTTCTAGGTTGTCTAGGCAAGGTCCTAGAGAAAGTCCTAGCTACTAGACTAGAATATATTGCCTTTAAGAGTAAGAAATTACTATATTTTAATCAATTAGGAGGGAGAAAATAGTTCTTAACTATACATACTATAATAAGTCTAACTCATAATATTTAGCTAGCGAAAAAACAAGGTCTAACTACCTTAGCACTATTTATTAATATTAAAGGAGTATTTAACTATATCTCTTTAAATTGGTTAATAAGTATCTACTAGAGACTAGGCCTCCTAAAACTACTAGTTAGCTGGATAGCTTCTTTTATATCTAAGAGATCGGTTTAACTAGCCTTTAATAACCAGATCCAAGGAGATAGGGAAATAGAGATAGGAATCCTACAAGGCTTCTCTATCTCCCCTGTTCTCTTTATGATCTATATTAAAGAGCTATTTCAAAATCATTAGAACCTAAAGAATATTAGGCTCCCTAGCTATACTGATAATATAGCTCTAATAGCCTCCTCTAGAACGAAAGAGGAGAATATTAAGAAGCTGGAATAAGCATTAAAAGTCATTCTCAAAAGACAAGAAGAGCTTCTGATTTGGATAGATATAGATAAGACCGAACTTATCCACTTCTCCAGGAAAATAGATAAAGAACAGAATAAGATATCTATTAAATTAGAAGATTAGATAGTACCTATCAAACCAAAAAATGTAGTGAGATGGTTAGGTATTCACTATGATAATAACCTTACTTTTCAAAACCATATGGAGATAAGACTCCAATCAGCTGAAAAGACTCTGAATCAAATAGCTCGACTCTCAAATACGGAGAGAGGCTTATTCTTTCAAGTAATTAGGCAGCTATATATAGCGTATATAGCCTCTATAGCGGACCATGGCGTCCCTATATAGTAAAAAGACCAAAAGAACCTCCTAAATAAGTATGGAATCCTTTAGAACAAGGCCCTTGGAAAAATCCTACTAGCCTTTAAGACTTCTCCCACTTATGCTATGGAAATAGAGGCCTCTATCCCCCCTATAAGGGTTAGATTTGATAAAATCTGTAGGATATATACCTTAAGGATTATATCTCTACAATCTGATCACCCTATTAGGGCTAGAGTCTCTGAAAGCTTTCCTCCAGAAAGGGATCTAGGGATAGATCTAGACTGGAATAAATTCTATGAGTAGTCGGATTTAGATCATTTAGAAGGAAAGAAGGCTAAAAAGGAGGTATATTAACTCTTTAGGATCACCTCCCTAATAGTACTATTTCAAAATAACTCAAAAATCGAAGCTCCTAGTAGGCACTGTCTTAACCCATAGATGAATAATCTAGATAGTCTAATAGAATTTAGGATCTCTCAATCCCCTGAGCCTATAGCAAAACTAGAGTACCTCGAGCTTCTAAAGAAAATTCAGAAAAATCAAGAAAGCATTATATACCACTCTAATGGATCTAAATTGGAGAAAGGTACTATAGGAGCTGGAATTTTCGAACTAAACTCCTCACAATACTAGGCTTGGAACTTAGGTAGTAAGCTAGAAGTCTTCGATGCGGAACTCTTTACTATGGATAGAGCTTTATTAAAAGCCTTAAAGATTATTAAGGATACTTCTAAAAGCTCATAGGAGTCACTCTTTAATTACACACCCCTAGAGAAAGAGATCTGGATATCTATGGATAGTCAAGTAGCTATCCAGAGACTTTAGAAATCAGCTCTAATAGGTGGTAAAAGATATATTTTCTCTATTGAAAAAATCGCAGAGAAATTATCTCAAAAGGGCTTTTTTACTAATATAGCCTGGGTCCTAGCCCATCAAGGTATTCTAGGGAACGAGAAAGTGGACTATACAGCAAAGCTAGGAGCAAACCTCGATTCTATCTCCATTCTTAACTACACTTCTTTAGCAAACCTAAAAGGAGGAATAAGAGAAAGAGCCCTAGAGGACTAGAACTGGAGCTTAATAGAAATTAAAAACTCTTCACTGGGAAGAGACTATCAATAGTTCGAGGACCTTGCTAGATAGGGAAATTCTAAGGAAAGCTAGCCTAAAAAGCTTTGGTCAACAAGAATTTAACTCAAGATAGTACATAGATACTTTAGATCCTATCTTAGAAGACTCCCAGAATATAACTCAGCCTACTGCCCTAGGTGTCCTAATACTGGTGAAATACCACAGCATCTTCTTCTAGACTGCTCTAGTAGCAAAGAAACTAGAGCTTAGCTAAAAGAAAAATATAAATTAAATAACCAAAATTAGAATCTAAAAGCTATCTTCCAAACAGAAAAAGGAAGGAAGTGGCTTTTTAACTTCCTATAAACTACAAAGATAGCTACTGGAGCTTGGCTACCAACTAGCTAAAAAAGAAAAAAAAAAAAAAATCTTTATTAGGAGGCCCGCGGCCCGTAGACCGTGGATAATGAACCATAGACTACAGACCGCGGTCCCGGCCCATCTTTTAAATATGAGTCTTTCAAGCCTTATAGGCGTCCTATATAGACACTAATACCACCAATCGAATCCAAATAGCCCAGGCTACCTTGC